CGGTAGTCGAGGACGAGCTTGGAGTGTTTGAGCTTGTTGGCCAAAGAGTGGAGGGAAAGCTGGTGGACTTGATGTCACGTGCAAGCTTCAAGGTGGAGTCTGTTGTGGAGGAAGTGGAGGAGTGGTAGGAGAAATAACATAAAGCTCAATTAGGATGAGGAAAGATATTCAAGGGGTAAGTTAGGGAGTAGAGGAGGAGATCAGTGATTAATGGGATGATGAAAAATTGTTTGGAAGGGAGCAGAGAGTTGAAGAGAGAATGAAGAAGAGGGCAATATGGGTATATTGAGTTTTTAATATGTATATATTAATGTATACTTATACGTTTTATGAAGACTTGGGTTTAAAAATAAGTGCTCTTTGTATTTTTAGGTTTAAGAGGCATTTTATAAGTACACGAGTTTAAAAATAAATTAGAGTAAAACTTTAGGGTAATAGACAATAAAACTTTGGGGTAATAGAAAAAAACGCGTATTAAGATTGGCGGCTTACTAGACTTTGACCTCGGAAAGGGTCAAGTGTAGGTCCCACTTACGGAAAGGTAAGCCAAACAGAATTGAAACAATAAATTTCTTTGTGTAGCAAGTTCAACATGCAACACAACCTAAGATTTATGGGTGTTCGTATGTGCAAATTTTAGAAAGTTTTTTTTTGGGTAGTGTGGGTAGGTTTTTTCTTTTGCTTTGTTCTTTTTTTTTTAACTTAGGGTCCGTTTGGATAATAAAAGTACTAGAAGTAAGAAGTAAATTATGAAAGTAACTTCTAAAACTATGAAGTAGGCAGTAGCGAAAATAGCATTTTTTTTGTTTGTTTCATATATTTTAGAAGTAATGGAAGTAGAACTTTTTCCTCTTCATTTACTTTTTTTGTTTGGATGATATTTGGAATTATTACTAGGAAGTAATTAATACATGTTGCTTCCACTTTATTCTTGTTTGGATTGTCATTGTAATGGAAATAGAGTTGTTGTTGCCATCAATTGAAGAGACCAATATTCATAGTTGATTTGCTTGATATATAATAAAGGTAATCTTACATTTTTGGATCAAGGAGTATGACACGAAACACTGAGGATAGCAAGGGAGCATCCGCAGCAAACAAGAAAGAAACATAATAAACTATGGCACTAGTCAAGTACGAGGATTTCAGTTTCTTATGCCTGCTATTTCGTGCAATAACAAGAAAATGAATGAAAGCAAATCATCAGATAAATAATGCAGTACGAGGATAATGAGATGCGCAGCATAATTGCAACAAGCACATTAAATATCTGTTGAATTTATTAAAAAAAAAAGCCATCAGATAACTATACCTTCGAAGAGAACACAAAATCACATGATGACGTGGGTGGGGGGGGACTGATGCGGCAGAAGTAACTATTTGTTTGCACGGAGAATTCTAGTTGGTTATAAAAATAATCTTATCACTCCCTAATTATATATTTGAGGATCTTTTTTTCATGGTGGACCCCACTCTATATCAACTTCTGCCTATTTCAATGCATTTTGGGACGGAAAAATATTAAGGAAATGTAGATGCCACATAGACGCCATGTCATCATTTAAGGAAGTAGCAGAAGTAGATTTTCAAGAGAAACAAACATACATTTTTGCCTGGAAGTAACGGAAGTAGACTCTACTTCCTCTACTTCTGCTATTTCACAGTTACTTCTGTGCAAACAAACGGGCCCTTATTGCGGGGTGTTTTTGGGGTGCGGGTTATTTTTTGTTTTTTTTGGTTATTTTTTGTTATTTTTTGTTTTTTTTTTGTAGAGATAGATGCATGAGACAAAAAAAACATTTACATAATCCTTAATAAACGACACCTATATATGTGAAGCTTAATAGATCCCTTAAGGGCATCTCCAATCATTCCCCATTTCCCGCGCTATTTTGGTGCAACGACACTATTCCTTCTCTAACCATGCCCCATTTCTCGCACCATTTTGGTGAAAAGAAATAGTGCGACGCCAAATATGGCGTCGCACTGTTCATCGCGCTATTACTGTTCATCACGCTATTTTTTACCGTATTTTATTTTCTATTGTGTTCTTAAATTTAATATTTTGGCAATATAAATAATAAAATAATATTTTATAATTTTACACCTTAATAAAATAATATTTTATTATTAATGTTTAATTATTTTTTTGTATTTTATTTTCTAGTGTGTTCTTAAATGTAATATTTTGGCAATATCAATAATAAAAATATAATATTTTAGCAATCAAGTTATTTTAATTAATAAAATAATATTTTATTGTTTTATTAGTTTAATCTTTTAAAATAATAAATCATTTTGTTTGAAAATATGTGAAAAAAATAAAATTTGATATGTGGGGTTAATTGTTGAAATAGTTAAAAATATAGGGAATAAAAAATAATAATATAAAAGTAAATAAAAAGGAATATACTAAGAATATTCTTTTTTGGTGCAAAAAATGGTGCAGTAGGTTGGAGATGATTTACTGTTTGATGTGATTTTTGCATCATTTTGGTACAAATTTGCACCATTTTGGTGCGATGGATTGGAGATGGCCTGAAGTCAAATATTGGAAATGTTTGATTTACTTAAAAAATAGTTAGCTTCTAGATAATCTCTTCTTATTGCTCTCATATGTTCATAACTTACAAGTTGCAATCGTCCACTTGAATAAATAGTTCATTCTAAATAAACTATTGTTTTATCTCATACGAATCACACACGTTTTATAACTCTCAATTAAATAAAAAAGAATTTTGATTGAAGAAATATGTGCATTTTCTATTCAGAAAAAGTGAATCTGTCTTCATACGTTTGTAGGATGTCTAAAAAAATCACTGTGGATAGCTGATTCCATCAAATACTAATGATGGAATTTATAATCAAACGTTCACATCAACAGAAGGTTACAATTGGAAGATTTTCACTTAGATCAAAGAGGGTTACAATTTGATGACCGTCACGACAACCAATGAAAATTTTGATTTAACAGCATTCATAAATAATCACGAGAGTTACAACCGACGACTCTCACATTTCAAAGAGCTAAGACAAAGATTACAATATAACGATCTTTGCAACGCTCTAGCAAAAGAGACTACAAATTGATGGTCTCTTCAACTCAACACGTAGACTCACCTCTGCGTCCCAGAAGCAAAACACAAATCTCAGCATTGCGTTCCAAACTCAAAATACAGAATTCAGTACTGCATTTCAGATTCAAAACACAGGGCTCGCCACCGCGTTCCAAACTCAGAACACAGAGTTAAACTCTGTGTTTCAAGTCCAAAACGCAGAGTTCGTGCCCAGAACACAATTCTTGCGTTTGACTCATTCAAACATGAGTTAAACGGTTTCAAAATCGTTCTCCCGTGATTTAAGGGGATCACTCCCCCACTTAGGAGTGAATTAAGGGGTTAGTTACACCCCTTAATCCCCTATAAATAATGAAAAACGCAGTCGAGTTCGACATCTTTTGGGCAGATCAAATCTTCGAGCTTGAATCTTTGGAGCATTGGAGATCGACATTGACCTCTTTTGAGCATCTTTTCAACAAACCGAGAGCATCCTTTGGGAAGCTGTTCTTGGAGCTTGTTTTTAGCTTGTAAACCGATTTTTGGTTAAATCAACTCTTTTACAGAGTTTAAACTCGCTCTGAGTTATTAACTCGTTAAGAGTTTCACACTTGCCCCGCAAGTTCTCCTCAACGACATTCAAGAGGAAGACATCGTGTTCCACGAGGTGAAGCGTTCGTCAATGGGATACAAGGATCTAAACTCCCATCGACACCAAGAAGAACCCAGGTTAAACAAAGGGATTGGTCTCCGTCGATCCATTCTCTCTTTTGTAAATCGGGAAACCGATATAGAAGAGTGGTAATTTCTTTTTCTAAACCAGTTAGAAAGAGATTATATTGAGAGAATTGTATTCATTCTTTTTCTAAGTCAGTTAGAAAAATAAATATAGATTTTATTCTCAAATTTTCTTCTTCGATTTTCCCACAAACAACGTTACTTTTTCTTGTTAAGGATTCCCTTGTCATGTAACTGGCAGAGTAGGCCAAAAAGTAAGAGAAATAATTACTAATTAACTTGGTGACATAATTAATTAGTTAACATCAAAACAAAATTCATAACCACATGTTTACAGCCCTACAGGGGCAAAAATATTCGTACATCTCCATCTTATTTTACAACGATCGAAATTACCAATTATTTACTTGTCTTATTCCGAATACAACAAGCAACCACCTAGTTAAAATGCAAATTAAAAATGGCTCTGGCTACCCAGACCTGTCCATCCGACCCGGCCCGGCCCGGAAATCCGGGCCCGGGCCCGACTGGGCCGGGCTCCGCACCGGCCCGGTTTTTTTTTAATTTTTTTTAATTTTGAAAAAACAATAAAACATAAAATATACATAAAAATTACAAAAAATGACATAAATTTTTTTAATTAATTGAAATGACATAAATTACAAGTACAAAAAATTATAAACATAAAAGATGATAAAAATAAATTTTTTATTAATAATCATGTCATTCATATATTATACATAAACAAATTGTAAGTACTTATAGAAATTACATAAACAAATTGTATTATATATAAACATATATATAAAAAATAAATTATTCGCACCCTGGTGCGGGATGGACTGTTAGGTCAAGCATCCTCAAACCCGACTCAATGGCCTGTACTATTAGAATACCAATGCACAAACCCATATATATGTATAAACTGTGTAATCAATTTCTGTACGAATGGTATATCGACGCACTATCTCAAATAGTACTGAGCGGTGCTCATCAACGATATCCATATGTATGTAAACTATGTAAACCACCTCTAACTCAAGTGTAATCGGATCAATACTTGTCAAAATCCTCATCGGGATATTCATGTGTATGCAATAACATTGTACTTGTGTATTCGTGAATAAACATGTATAAAAGTACGACTAGGATCCCTCGAATGCATCTCAAAACAGTGTAAAAACAAATTGGAAACTATCTGAAAATCTGCCCGTTGATAATCACATTTTATTACAATTTTATACCCTCATTATCTATTTTATATGAATAAATATACCACTAATAATTGCTTTTATCTTTAATTGCAGGATAATGAAGAATAAATCTCAAACCCTCATCTCTCAAGAAAAACCCATCGATTAAATGAAAGAAATGAGTAAATATAAATCTATCTACCCTTTAAAAGAGGGAGTACTAGAAAAACTTTCTCTATCCTAAATTGCCCTTCAACTATTGTAAATATGACAAAATTATCCTTTTTTTTCGTTACTCATAAATCAGAATATGTAAAGCTTCACCGTTTCATCTGTTACGAATTTCCTCCGGTATGATTATTATGGTCATCAATATGCTTATTATTATCCTCATCATCCACAATCCTTCTCTTCCCTCTTCTTCCACCTCAAAACCCCAACCCTAATCCCCTCCCTGCGCCTCCTCCCCTCCTTCACCCGCCTCCTCTCCTTCGCCACCCCCGAAGAGCCCGCTTCCGAGAGCCGCCGCCGCAAGCGCCGCCTCCGCATCGAACCTCCCCTCTCCTTCCTCCGCCAGCCTCAACAGCAGCGCATCCCCTCCAAAACCCCTATAAACCCTAACGCCCCCAAGGTCCCCGAACCCCTCTCCACCCTCGCCGGCAAACGACTCAACCTCCACAACAAGATCCTAAACCTAATCCGGGTCAACGATCTCGATGAGGCCTCGCTTTTGGTCCATCACTCGAATAATTTCTGGTATGTCTTGATCAGTTTATAAATTTTGATTTTGATTTTGATTTTTGATTTTAGAAATTCTTAGACTATCATCTAAACTTTCAGTATATATATTACTTTGTGCTGCTTCAGGAAATCCTTTAACATCCCCAACTTGTCTAAATTTTAAATCCATGTGATTTTGGATGAATACAAAGTTCGCTCATAGATTGTATGGGGTTTTTTGCTCTAGCAATACATCAAGTCTCACCACTTGGCCTTTAGGTTCATATTTAAGAGTATCCCACTCCTTTAGTTTTCAGTAAGAGCTTGATACAGTTTCATAGAGGGTTAGTATTGTAGCTGTTAAATACTGGTTAGGTTTAAGCCATCATCGAGCCATATGACCATCTAAACATATACTTAAACTGCTGCTAAACACAGTTTTGCAATTTCAGGCATATTTTTCGCTTCCGGAAGGAATTGCTACTGCTGCTGGTTTGATTGCTATGATGACTGACCACTACAAAATTCTGGTGAGATTTCATATCTTCCATTATTTGCTTGGATATGCCTTTGGTTGCAATATTTACCTTTGATTCCTACTCTAGATCGTATTTTCTCATTATGAGTGTTATCTTACATGAACGGGTGAGCAAAATTTGGACCTCCTTACCGGCAGTTCTTTGCCTAACCTGAAGACTATAATATTGACACGCAGTGTGATTTCATATCTTTCATTATTTGCTTAGACATGTCTTTGGTTGCAAAATTTACCTTGGATTCCTACTCTGGATCATGTTTTTCTTGTTACAAGTGTTATCTTACATAATCAGGTAAGCAAAATATGGACCTTCTAGCAGTTCATATCCAAACCTCAAGACTATTATATTGGCACACAATGTGATTTTATACTCTTGGACCAGTCTTTATTTTCAAGATGGACGCTGGTGGGAACTCTATTAGTGCCTGAGCTGAATAGGGTAAGAAAGCCACCAAATAGGGGGGAAAAGGGAACGAGTCTGGTCATCGCACAGTCTATACTGATGTGTTTTCTTTCTATTCATTTTCTTTTTCTTTTCTGAAGGGAAAGGATTAAAGTCTCGACCATTCATAATCAGCAATGGGCATTTCAAATTGCGATTACTTTCTGTTCATCCAGATTTACACTGAAAATCCCTAAAAACATTGCCTGATATGGTTTTTAGTTTCTTGCCTATGCATCAAGTGGACGCAATGTAGATGGTTGAGAGTAGCAAGTCAAATGCTTTTAGGATGTTTTGTATCTTGCAAAATTTCTGGGTAAGAGGTTTCAAAGTGCTAGACCATAATTACATGAGAGTTTTCAAAGGTTGCGAAAACTGACACTATCCATATATTTTTATGCATAACTTTCTTAAAGCATGGCAAAATTTCAGTCGCTAGAGTATCATTGGTGTTATAAAGGGACAAATTCTTTTGTTTTTACATTTATATATATACTTTGTTTAACATTAGACTGTAAATTGGTAGGAAGGCAGTGACAGCGAGCATGAAAGCAATGATGTAGCAAGAACATCTCGCAGACCACAGAAGCGTGCTCGGGGTAAGTATCGTCTCATGTCAAAGGGTCCTGATGGTCCTTGTCCAGATCTGTTGCAACTTCAATCTGCCTCATCAAGTTATGCATGCATGTCTTTATTGAAGAGTAAGCGTTCTGGAGGTAGTGTAAAGTATTCATATAAATGAACTTTTAGCCCATTCATTATTCATATATATATATATATAATCTGAAAGTCTTCAGTCGAATATTACATTTCATTAAACTGCTTGGAAGTGTGGATGCAGGGGAATGAGTATATATATATATATATCCCCAAAAAAAGACCCAATGCCTCCTCCATCTCCAATCGGAGCTCCCCCTCCATCTCCAATCCGCCATCTCCAACGCCGACGATCTCCTAAATCAGCCATCTCCAACCGGAGCTCCCCATGATCCGCCTCACTGCCACGAACCCCACGACTACGAAATTTGAGACCGCCTCCTCCGCCACGACTACAAAGTCTGAGACCGCCGACTTCCCCAACTCATCCGACGCCGACGACGATTAAGTCCAACTCCGCCGACCGTGACCGTCTATCCCCAACTTGATGTTCTCTCCGTTGTGTATCAGGTGAAGGTTTATGTTCTCTCCCTTGTGTTGAATTCCCCTATGCCTGATTATCATCAAAGTTGGATCCAAAGTTTATATGTTATAGCTGTTTGGAATTGGGGTTTTGCTTTCTTAGAGTGCTCATTTATATGGTTCTGGAGGGTTTTTCTTTCTTAGAATGCTCATTTATATAGTTCTGGAGCGTTTTCATTTTTATGCTCTCTTAATCTTGTATAGTTGAGTTTTTCCTGGAGATGTCTGGGATGAGTATTATACTAAATGTCGAAGAGTTAGGGGGGTTTTAATATTCTCAAAGCATTTCCAAACTCAGAAAGCTTGGACGAGATTGGCTGCTATTTCGTTTGTAGCTATATAATCCACAATATTCATATAACTATAGAATGTAATTAACGAATAAAGATAGAGTTCTGCATACATATGCTTTGGACATACATATGCTTCTGTTCTTCATACATATGCTTCTGTTCTTCATAATTTGGACCTGTTAAGCTTCTGCATTTTTGGTGTTATAAATTATGGTATCCTTACATGTTCACGACTAATCTGATTTTGAAATATTATATAAATCTTTGAACCTCGAACAACTTCTTTTTATCAATCTAAGCTTTGAAAGCTTGGTCCTATAAAAATTTGGTCAGTTACCTTTGCATGATATGAAACTACTTACGGCGGTTCTCTGTCGGCATTGCTTGAAGATAGGTCTATTTCTGTTGTGGTTATCCAGATCACTTTTCTTAATATGACAAGGGATAAAGATAGAGTTTGAAATAGATGAGTGGTCTGTTTATACGATAAGCACTAAAGATTAAACTCTGAAATATAGGTTAATATTGATCAAAATTTTAACATCACATTGTTGAAATATGATTGCAGAAGTTTACAGAAGATTTACTTGCTTGGAGAATCCTTTAGTTTCCCTTATATCTCTAATGCATTTGTAAATTGTAATCTCAACATATATTATTTTATTTCCCACTAATCAGATAGTACCTTTTTATTTTATTTTCCAGGCAATTGGTTCTTTCCAAAAGAAATACAGCATCGGTTCTTTTGAGCTCCTGAGCAAAACAGCACCAATACAGGCAGTATCTCTTCTTCTGTTCAGCCCTATCATTGACTACTATCTCAATGGACGTTCCCTACATGCCCATCGCTTGTCAGGATCCCCTGTGTTGTCATGAGAACTTGTCAGGATTGCGAATGAAGGCTTTTGTATTAGTGCTGACTTGTATTTGTGTTTAATGTCAGGCTTTTGTATTTGTGTTTAATGTGTTGTCATTTTGAATCATGGATGCTGACTTGAAATGCTAAGAGTGAACACAAGTTGGTTTGCTTTTGTATTTGTGTTTAATGTGTTGTCATTTTGAATCATCGAAGCTGACTTGAAATGCTAAGAGTGAACACAAGTTGGTTTGCTCTTTGGGAACAGAGGTTCTAAACATATCTATGACTCAGTGATATTGTTGCAAACATTCAGATATTTACATCAAAATAAACTTGGATTCACCTAAATGATCTGTTTTGTTTCCATCTGCTGAATATATAAACGAGTGGAAAGCAATGCATGTTCATTAAACCATTCAGAAAAATCATAGGGAACCAAAGCACGTTCCATTTAGCACACTTTACATACATAAGAAAGTATTTTTCTCACATACATCACATAATTTCTTTAATAAAAGATGGTTTCATTCCAGCACATCAAGTTACATCATATAATTTATTTTATGGTCAAACCAAAAGACAACAAAAAAGCTATAACAGTTAGCCATTTCCACAACACTTTTTCACTTACAACTAAGTCATGCACCTTTGGTGGGGGAATGATGAGTGGTACTTGTTCAATTGAAGAAATCTTGGACCAGCCCAAAAACGAACCGCACTTTTGCCTTTTACACGAGTAGTATATTCTACCACGGTTATTGTTCTTGTTTGACTTCATAATATTCACGTCCGCTAATTCTCCACATTCGCATTGTTTCAATACGAATCTAATATCCACTTCAACACGCTTATTACTTTCCACAGTTGATGATGAAACCATTGCGTATGAGAACGCACTGTATTTATATTATAGTAGTATATATACTATATATATTATATATATATATATATATATATATATATATATTATATATAAATATATATATATATATAATTATATATATATATATATTATATTATATATTCTCCCTTTAAAAAGAGCCAGTTCCTTGAAAAACTTTCCCCTTCTAAATTAGTCTTCAACCAATTAAATATACCCAAATTTCTCCTTAATATCGTTAACAGAAAATCGTCATCATCATCGGAAATTTTGGAAGCCGAGACGTTACAGAAATTCCATTTCCCAAATTCCCAAATTAGGCGAAAGTTCATCAGTTTCCTTCTCCGACGAAAGCCGAGGCGTTACAGATATTTGATTTCCCATCTCCGTATATGTCTTCCTCTCCCAGCCGAACTATAATATAAATTATAGCCGACAGAAAAATAAATATTTTAAAACATAAAGGGAGTTATATAGGCCATAATAAGCTCTAACATATAATGTAACTACCAGAAGTTTCATATTGCCCCAGAAATACCCTTTTTGACTGGATATTTAAGGTTATAATTGGATTCTAAATCTATCTCAATTTTTAAGAATGTGATTTATCTGCTTGGTTTGCATATGTCACTACTTCATGTTTTGGCTTTTTGATGTTGTGATTGTGATCTAAGTTTTTGAAATTTTCCAATTGTATAGTCAGCTCAAGATGTGTTCTTTAGAACTTATCAACTAGCAAAACATAAAGCACCTCCTTACACTTATGATAGTTATGCTAACGAAGCTCTGTCCGAATCTGTATCATACAATATTAGATAACCCCAAGTTTCATAGAATGTGTTAGAAACAGTAATATACAAAAAGGCCACGCACAATCAATATTTAAATCAAAAATATGTTATCGGTTTATAACATATTGATTATTTATATCTTTGTGTCCTTACAAAATCTTAACTTTCTGTTTTAAAATTAAATCATACTTGTAGTATTTATAGTTCCATTTGGTGGTTCTACTGTTGTTTTTAGGCCCTCTTGGTCAAGGTATTGCGAATGCTTTTGGATTGGCGCTTGCAGAGAAACACTTAGCTGCGCGATTCAATAAGCCCGATAATGAAATCATCGACCATTATACGTATGTACCTACTGAACTTCATCATATAAAACGTTGTTATCCAATTCAGTTTCAACATATAGGATTATATGCATTGCCCATGCACCCAGGGAAAAAGAAAAACAGATGATATATTGGAAGCAGCTCATGTTAGTCTCTAGGATGGAATGACCAGGCACATATACAAGCAAGTTAAAGATGTTTATAATGTATTTTCACTCAATCCTATTTTACTTTTCCATAAATTACTCTCAGTCCACTTTATTTACAATTGTTATTATGTATAATATTGGCAATAAAACTTATCGGGAAAAGTTTTCTTAAACCAGTTTGTGAAGTGCTGCTAATAGGATACTCATGATACCAGTTTTCTTGCAATTGTCATTATTGGTACCAGTTTTCCTATTGGTGAAGTACCAATTGTCATTAAGATGGTTAATGACGAGTTATAGAAAAATGATTTTAAACCAGTTTGTCATGATACCAATTGTCATTAAGATGAGTACCAATAGTTTAAAACAGTTTGTGAAAATTGGAACCAGTTTATAGTAGAAAACTGGTATCATTAGTAGTAATAAAACTCGTCTTCCACTTTACTTGCAATTGTCATTATGTATAATATTGTCATTATGTTTAACGAATTGGTGGCAGCAAACCGTTGACGAACTGATGTCCACTTTTAAAAGCAACATTAGTTAATGTTTTTCATGTTAGGATTATAAGTAACCTCTCAACCTTATGAAGTGCTACTAAGAATGTGCGTGGAAATTGGAACGAGTAGTCTGAAAGAACAATTCAATAATAAATATTTTAAAACATAAAGGGAGTTATATAGGCCATAATAAGCTCTGACATATAAAGTAACAACCAGAAGTTTCGTATCGCCCCAGAAATACCCTTTTTGACTGGATATTTAAGGTTATAATTGGATTCTAAATCTATCTCAATTTTTAAGAATGTGATTTATCTGCTTGGTTTGCATATGTCACTACTTCATGTTTTGGCTTTTTGATGTTGTGATTGTGATCTAAGTTTTTGTAATTTTAACCAATTGTATAGTTAGCTCAAGATGTGTTCTTTAGAACTTATCAGCTATCAAAACATAAAGCACCTCCTTACCCTTATGATAGTTATGCTAACGAAGATACTTATCAGTTAACGTTAATCTCGCTGATTTCATTGCTGCCTTGGATGTGTGGAAGAGGTCTAATGGCATGTTGAACGCTACATGGCCTGCACATGAAGGTTGCTCTAAGTCA